GTACAACTAAAATATATTAAATATATACTATGTGTCTCATTTATTAATCTTTAAGATTTTGGACAGCACAATTACTTTATTAAACAAGTCATAAAACAATTAATTGAAAAGACTAGAAATTATTTCTTAAACATTCTATATAAAAACCGTTAACATTTAAAATTATTTTAGTTTTATTCTATTCTCCCACAAAGAAAGTTTCTTAACAATGAATATCGATACAAATATTTACTATTTATAATAAGCAAACTCCTCATGGACACTGATCTGAACAGCCAATATAATGCTTTAAAAAACTAGCAAGATAGGGCGCCTGCGTGGCTCAGTCAGTTGTGTCTGCCTTCGGCTCAGGTCATAATCCCGCGGTCCTGGGATCCAGTAGAACGGCTCCCTGCTCAGGGGAGAGTCTGCTTCTACTTCTCCCTCTGCCCCTTCCTCCTGCTTGTGCTCGCTCTCTCGTAAATAAATAAAAAAATCTTAAAAAAAAAAACACTAGCAAGATAGAAATGTAGAATGTAGTGGGGCCAGGAAGAATCCAGGATCAAGAAGGCCATGCGGAAGATCCTGCCATTTACAATAACACAAATGACCATGGAGGACATTATGCTAAGTGAAATAAGCCAGACACAGAAAGGAAAAAACTGCACAATCTCACTTATATATAAAATCTATAAAAGCATAAAGGGTAGTCATCAGGGGCAAGAAGGTGTGGGAAATGCGAAGGTACTAGTCAACAGTACAAATCTGCAGTTATATAGGATGAGTAAGTCTAAAGTTCTAATGTATAGCATGATGACTAAAATTAATACTACTGTATTGAATACTGGAAATTTGCTAAGAGTAGATTTCAGGTGCTCTCACATACAAAAAATGGTAATTCCATCAGATGTTATAATCATTTCATTATGTATACTTATTATCAAGTCATGTTGTACACCTTAAATATATACAATTAAAAAAAGACCATGTGAAGAAGCTCCTATGATTACCTTAGTATGAGGTACTGAAGGCTAACAAGGGTGACAAAGGCATATAGAGGCTTTCTGACATCCAATTATCCTCAAGTCTCTCTGGTTCTACATTCTAAACTTCTCACATTTTCCCTCACCATCCCCACTCCAAGCGCCTTAAGCAAGCCTTCGCTTTCTTTTTTGGCTTCTAACTGCTCCTGAGTCCCTCTGATCCACTGATGTGGTCAATGAGTTAAGATCAGTTGTAAGTTATCACCAATGTAACTTGCTACTAACAATAAAGTACTAAGTTGGAGCTCTACTGTTAAAAGAAAAACTTAAAATTCAAAGTTGCTGGCTCATTTGCTTTAAATGCTTCGATTAGCAAAGAATTCCAAGGAAAGAATAGTCAAGTCTGATAGCTGAAGAGCATACAAGTTCATTATTCTATAACATCAAAAACCTAGAAAGGACAGTTTCTAAGGTTTACTCCTCCTATTTGAGACAATCTCTCCCTCAAATAAAAAAGAAAAAAGCAACCTGCCTCTTGGTGGAAAACTGACACAATAACTATATAATATACAGTTCTATTAAAGAATTTAATATACATATAGTGTCATTAAAAATACAGCTTAAATTAAATGTTACCGACATCCTTTTGGCAGGTTGTTACGAGTTGCCTCCATAACTCAATTGATCTAACCAATGGCTTTACAAACTCTGAATATTAACTCTGGCAAAAAATATAATGGGATCAAAGGGTGTCTTAAGCGTAAGTTATGCATGTGAGTATGTCACCCACACCCAAGGTCCAGCGCTGGTCTGTTGCAAATGTTCCTGATTTAATAATATAGCTACTAGGCTATTAGAAATCTCCCTGAGATCCTGATAAACACATGCTTGAATACAATTATAATCATCAGGGAAACAATCCAAAGGCCCCATACTCAGACAATTTTTGCCTAAGATTAAATGCCACTGCAAAAGGTTATTTAGTTCTATTAAAATATATTGAGTTTTTATAACTTAATCTAAATGGTACCTGTGTCCTGTGTGTGAAGCAGCCCAGTTACAACAGCTAATAAAAAGATCTCTCTCCTTTTCTGTAACTATTTATTATTGTTAAAGTAGAAAATAACTTTCCTAATTCCTAATTAACATAATTCTATTAGGATAAAAAAATAATAAAATCTAGTTTTCTACGAAGAATGTACCAGAAGTGATTGCCTAAATAAGCCACTTTCATATATAAAAGAATTCAACATCTTCAATTAAGAACAATGTAAATTGACCTGTACCTCTGAAACAAATAATACATTATATGTTTAAAAAAAAAGAAGATAGTAGGAAGGGAAAAATGAAGGGGGGGAAATCAGAGGGAGAGACCAACCACGAGAGACTATGGACTCTGAGAAACAAACTGAGGGTTCTAGAAGGGAGGGGGGTAGGGGGATGGGTTAGCCTGGTGATGGGTATTAAAGAGGGCACGTATTGAATGGAGCACTGGGTGTTACACGCAAACAATGAATCATGGAACCCTACATCAAATAAATAAAGAGGAAAACAAAACAAACAAAAAGTCATTAATAACATCTTTGTACTTCAAGAATGACCATTTTTCTTCGTGAATTTAGCTTTTCAGTACTCTAGTCTCAGATCTCTAGGAATAATTTGTGAAAATAATAAACTGCCCCACATCCTTAAAAAAAAAACAACAATGTAACTGACACAACCCAATGGGCGTTTCCACAAAGCTTACCATATAGACCTCCAGGATATTCTACAAAATTGGCTTTATATAATATAGAGCTGGTAAGATCTGTAGAGATTATTTGCATTTCCACAATGCTTATAATAAATAATACATAATATGTAAATAATAAAATTGGCTTTATATAATATAGAGCTGGAAGGATCTGTAGAGACTATTTACCTCTCATTTTACACGTATAGAAAGCTGTTTGACCTTGGGTAAATCAATACACCTCAGTATTTTTCCATATTTTTAAAGGGCTGAACTAGATGATCTTTACCATCCTTCCCAGACCTAAAATTTCTCTAAAAATGATAAACCAGAAAAAAAAAAGATAAACCAGGTTTTATTGCAACAAGTTATGCAACCACATGTATATATAAAATCAAGAGATACAAAGGAAGGGAATTTATAAAGCTGATCACCTATGTTGGGTCAGGCCTTAAATCCCAGTACCTCATTTAATACTCTAAATAACCTGCAAATGCTAGGTTCTTTGGGGTAGGGGAGGCTCCTAAATCTATTGGTGTTTAGATGCTGCAAAAACTCCATTTCTGCTTTTAAAGAAAAAGCTAACCAGGAGGTCCTTTACATGTATTAATAACAAAAAAGTGACAGATAATCTTAATCCAAACTGGGAATTTAGTGCAAACTACCGAACCCTACTTTTAACAAAACTTGATATTTGAATTTTGAATGCAGAGTAATAGAAATGTTAGGACCTGGGAAGGGCCTTAGAGATCATATAGTACACCTTCCTCATTTTACAAATGAAGCAATTAAAATAAAAGGTTTTGTCCATTTTTCACTCAAATTAAAATAGCAGCCAGAAGTAGATGTGTGGTCTCCTAACTTTCAGATATTACCCTGTGATGGAATTACATGAGGAAGCCTGATAATTTGCCTAACATGACATCTTTACAAGAACATCTACATGGCTAATGGTTTTTTAAAAAAAAAAAATTTAATTTGCCGAGATTATTTTAACATATCAGAAATATGGATTACTGGCAAAAAGTATCAGAAATGTGGAAAGTAAACTTCGTCTAAACTTGGTCTCACGGATTAAAAGAAAAATATTTTTCTATTCCAGAACAGTGGCTGGCCCACGATTGGTGTACAATGAAAGTTTGTTGAGTGAATGTGCCAACCTAAGGAAAGTATTACCACCACCGGCAATAAAGTCTTAAAGTGGTTGACTGAAAAACAAACCCTACCCTTTAAGGGGATGACACTTTATATGGTCATATAGACCATCTAGAGCCTTAGCATAATTCACCGTAGCCATTTTTTGATGACTATGATCCTAGAGATAAATAACTCTTAAACTTAAAAATGCTAGGATTCCCCAATAATTTGGAAGGAACCAACCTAAAAAAGAGACTCAACTGGCTCAACAAAATATCTGTAGCATTTAGGTTGACAATCACGGAGGCTTTAGGCTTAGTCTTAATCTTGTACACACAGTTAACTATCCCCAAAACATCTGACCTCTCCCTACCCCCGACTTTCTCCTTTAAGCAGACGAAAAGCAGCGGGTGCACAGGAGGGTTGGCAGACGAAAAGCAGCGGGTGCACAGGAGGGTTGGTTTTCATGAAAAGAATCCGACCCCAAAGAAAATACTGCTTTGCACCGCATCTTGCAACCTGGAGAAGCTCGGGCAGAAAATTTTCCAAGAGCGAGAAACCTACAGCTCCAGCGGGCGAGTGAACACCAAAGCCCCCCCCGCCCCCGGGCCCACCCGGGCAGCGCGTGCCGGGAAGTCAGCTACCCGAAGTCCGAGGTGGGGCGTGAGCGACGTGAGGACGCCTCTCAGCCCGCGCGGCAAGGGGGAAGGGAGGAGGTGGCCCCGGCGCCCATTTTGTCCTCGGCCTCCGCACCTCGGTCCTGTCCCCCAGGCCTAGAAACCTCCGCGAGGCCTGCAGCCACGCTCCTTTCCGCGGCCCGCATCCCGGACACGCGCTAGGCCGCGGCGTGTGGCTCCGGCCCGCTTCGTTCCCCCCCCCCCGGCCCCGCCCGCCGCTCATCAGGCTCTCGGATACCGCCCCAGCCTCGCCACGGCTCCGCGGGCCCAAAGCCTTACGTCTCGCCCCGGCTTCATCCCTCCCCTCCCCGCCGGGCCTCAGCCTCCTCAGCAACCCCCGGCTCAAGCCCCCTTACCCCTCCCCGCCCGGGCGTCGCCCTCTCGGCCCGGCGGGCTGGAGCCCCCTCACCCCTCTCTCGCCCGCGTGTCAGGCCACGGCCTTCAGCCCAGCACCCTCACAGCCCCAGCCCGCACGCCCTGTCTGGACCGTACCCCCCGGCAAACAGATGCACCAGCGTGTCCCTCTGGGTCATTCTCTCTCCCGCATGTCCTCCGGGCGCTGAGGCGGGACGCGGATCCGGCCACCCGCGGCGGCCGGCGGCTTTGGTCCCGGTCTAGAGCCGCGCGGCGCCCCAGGGACGGCGGGGGACCGGCTAGCGGAGAAGCGGCTGCAGAAAGCAACCGGCGCGGCCCTCCCCGCGGTGCTACAGCCGCGCCACCTCCCGCTCCAGCTGAGCGCTCTCCACCAGAGCCGGAGAGCGACGCGGCGCAGTCGGCTGCGGGGCGAGGCTGCGTGCGGGGGCTCGGATATTCCGGTGACCCCCGACATAAACAGAAGCTTCCATTGGTTCGCGCTGCGTGACGTCATGCGGCCGGCACGCCACTTTCACGTGATCGCCAAGGGTGGCGTTTTTTTTTTTTTTTTTTGTCTTGTTTTGTTTTTCTTCAATGAAAGGGGCCGTGAGGCGGGGCGGAGCGCGTGTCCTGAGGGTAGTAGGTCTCTGTGCTCTTGCGCCTAATCCGGGGCGGGGAGGCTGCACCGGTGCCACCTGGGCCCGGGCCCGGCAGGCTGACGGGAGCCCCACGCTCTAGCCCGGACCACGTGAGAAACTGCCTGGACTCCCAGTTCGCCAGCGTGCCCGATCTCTGACTTTCTTTTTTTAAGATTATTTTTTTCTTAAAAGGCAGTTCTGGGTTTACAACAAAATTGAGAGGGAAGTACAGAGATTTTGCATTCACACCGTTTGATTCACTTTTTGAAAATTGGATTTATGGCATTTCCGCTTCCTAGTATCTACCTCAGGCAGTGCATGGGAAAGGCTTTTACAAGGGTACAATGTTTACAAACAATGCTTGTAATAGAAAATTGGGATCAGTAGGGAAGGGAGAAATAAATCATGGACCATTGCTACTCTGCAACATGCAATTGTGACAAGGAGTAAGGTAGATCCATATGGAAAAAAGAAACTCAGGCGTAGAAACAGGCAAATAGAATTTAAAAACTAACGTTTATTTTAGAAAGAATAGAGAACTAACATTTACTAATTCTTCTAACCAGGAGATGTTTTATATATGTACTACATAAGTCAAAGACTCAGGGAAGGAAAATGTTCTATTTCTCCAGAACACAGTGACTAAAATGTTTTTAATTTTATTAATTAGTAATTATTTCTAAGGTGCGCAAAGGTACAGAAAATAATATAACACATAATCTGTATTCATCACATAATCTGTACCTACTCTGAACAAATGTTAATATTTTCCACCTATTTGTTGGGTAACTTCCATTCCACCTGCAGGGCCCTCACCATCCTTTCCCACCTATGTGGGATTATCCAGGGCCACCTTACTTTCCTTCCAGGGCCACTTTCTTCATGGAGTCCTCCTTAATTGTCTCAGCTCTCTATGCTCTTCATCTACTCCTAAATTCCTACAAGATGTACAGACTGCATGCCACTGGCAAATACCATAGTTAATATTCATCTGTAAAATGGGCATAAGAGTACCCCACTTCCTAAGGTAATTGTGAAGAATAAATGCATTAAAATATGTAAAGCATCTACAGCAGTGCTGTGTAAGTACTATCTATAAAAGTTAGTAGTATTATTTTACTGTCTTATAGTCTTAACAGAAATAGCAGGGGGCACCTGGCTGGCTGAGTAGGTAGAGCATTCGACTCTTGGTTTCTGGGTGGTGAGTTCAAGCTCCATGTTGGATGTAGATATTACTTAAAAAAAAAACCACCTAAACAAAAAATGGCAGCTGATATTTCTTGAACACTTAATAATATGCCAAGCTCTGATCTAAGCACTTTACATCATTCTCTTATTAAATTCTCGCAACTACCCTGTGGTAAGCAATATTATTGCCCCAATTTTCCATGAAGAGCCTGAGGTGTAGAATAATTAAGTAACTTGCCCAAGACTAACCAGTTCATTCAGAAGGAGCTTGGATTTGAATCCAGCAGAGTCTGTCTGATTCCAGAGCTTCGGTTGGTGAAGTAATAATAGCTGCCCATTAGAGGAAGGAAATTTTGAAAAGAAAAAAAAAACCCAGAAAAGTAAAAAGTAAAAATTGTCACCCAGCCGTACTACCCCCAAACCATTGCATTAGCACTTGGGGACCACTTCTTTTTTATAGCAGGTTTCTGGGGGTATCATTTACATGCCATAAACCACCTAAAGTGCATAATTTAGTGGTTTTTAGTATATTCTCATAGTTGTACAACCATCACGACTATCTAATTCTAGAGCATTTTCTTCACCCAAAAAGAAACCCTACATTTACTAGCAGTCACTTCCATTCTCCTCTCCCCCTGTGTTCTGGCAACCACTAATCTACTTTCTATCTTTCTAGATTTGCTTAATCTGGATTTTTCATAGAAAAAGAATCATACAATACGTGGCCTTTTGTGTCTGGTTTCTTTTACTAAGCATAATGTTTCCAAGGTTCATCCATGTTGTAGCACGGATCAGTGTTTCATTACCTTTTACAACTGAACAATAATGTTCCATTGTATGAATATATCCCATTTTGTTGATCTATTCTCAACTGATGGCTCTTTGGATTACTTCTGTTTTTTTGGCTATCATGTATAATGCTGCCACGAACATTTTTTTAAATATTTTATTTATTTATTTGACAGAGAGAGACACAACAAGAGAGGGAACACAAGCAGGGGGAGTGGGAGAGGGAGAAGTAGGCTTCCTGCAGAGCAGGGAGCCCAATGCGGGGCTGGATCCCAGGACCCTGGGATCATGACCTGAGCCGAAGGCAGATGATCAACGACTGAGCCACCCAGGCGCCCCTGCCACGAACATTTGTGTACAAAGTTTAACATGGACATACATTTTTAGTTCTCTTGGTAAGGTACTTGAGAGTGGAATTGCTGCATCTTAGGATAACTCTATGTTTAACCCTTTGAATACCTGCCAGACTGTTTTCCAAAGTGACTGCACCATTTTAGATGTATTTCTTTTAAGACAATAGCTCTAGCTCCCTGTTTTTGACATAGCGAATGTCACAGTAAATTACATTTAATGAAGCTTCTAAAACTGGCAAGGAAGGAGCCAGGGTTCTTATGTGTAACAGTTATTTCCTTTATGAGCAATAACAGTTCATTTGTGACCCTTTCCTTTTGAACTTCCTTCAGATGCCATCGCGGAAGGAGACTCTGCCCCCTGCACGCTCTGCCTGGTTTGTCATGGGACCGCCCACTGGCTGTGGTTGCCACCATTCTTGCGGAGATCCAGGGTTGGCTTGGCTGTCAGGCTTGTTGAAGTTTCGCAGCACTGCCCTCTGCCTGCTCTTTTATAACCATATTTCTTCACTCCTGTTGACTAGAGCACATCCTTCAAGACCAGCACAAGAGGAGGTTTCTTGAGCTGCCAGGTGCTTTTCCGGGAGAAGGATGTTAAGGCGGGGTGAGTGGAGCCGAGACCGCGCTTTAGTGTCAGGCACACCTTCACCTCTCCCAGCCCCCTATTTTTGCCCAGGGGTCTTCTGGGAGTTGTAGTTTTTTTTAAATTGAATCTGGAAAGAGAAACTGATGGGGAAGGGGTGGCCACAACTGGATGCTCATCTCAAAACAAACAGATAAGCTCACTGTGAAGTAGAGGGACTGCTACTGTCTTTCCTGATTGGTACTGGTCTCAAATTTTAATTGCTAATGGGCTAAAGAAAAGTTTTTAGTAGCTATTTGTGGGGGAGTGGACCACAGATGAAACACTGATGCTACCCTTCCCACACACTTCGATTTTATTAGTCTTGTAGGTACAGAAAATTTGTATGAGTTTCAAGCTTTGGATTGGCAACATTAGTTTTATTATTTTTTTTTAAGTTTTATTTATTTAAGTAATCTCTACACCGTACCTGGGGCTCAAACTCAGGACCCCAAGATCTAGAGTCACATGCTCCTCCAGCTGAGCCAGGCAGGTGCCCTGGCAACATGAGTTTTAAATGTTTGGATAAGATTTTTTTTTTTTAAAGTAAACTCGACCCCCAAGGTGGGGCTTGAGTTTACAACCCCAAGAGGTGCATGCTCTCCCGACTGAGGCGGTCAGACACCCCAGGATTGTTGTTGTTGTTGTTTTTTAAAATCTCTGTATCTTCTTAGCTATTTCAGTGGGAGGTTGGGAGAGACTGTTTTACATTCTCTTAACCAGATGCCATTTTATTTATTTATTTTCCTATTTTGCTTTTAATAAAAAGTAATAAATTCAAACAATACAGAGGGGCATGAAGTAGAAATTAAAATCCTCTCCTCAACCTCCCTTCCTAAATCCCACTGCTCAGAAGAAATCATTGGTAGGAGCAGAGCAAGTGCCCTTCTGAGTACTCTGTGCCACAACGGGAGTCCTCTCAGAGCTGATCTATACAGCACTCATCATGTGCCAGGCATTGTTGCAAGCACGTCACATGTATGTAAATTAACCCTATCTAGAACCTAATGAGGTACATTCTACGGATGAGGAAATGGAGATGCAGAATGGTTAGAGGACTTGTCAAGGGGACTCAACTAGCAAGTAGCTGAGCTGTGATGATAATCTAGGTAGTCTGACTCCAGAGTCTGTAAGCTCATCCTCTGTTCTGTACCATCTCAACTGTTTTTTGGTTGATGGAGAATATTAGCTATAGTTACTACAAGAGGGCAGAGGGTGGGGAGCTTTGGGAGGAACTCATGAAGAATGTGGTCATCAGAGGACAAGTGTGCTCTTACCTCTGAGCCCCATGTGGAGTCAGGAGAGCAGCTGTTCCCTAATGCAGGTTTGATCTCCCATGGAGCACCCCTTCTATCAGCCACCCTGTGCAACACATTCAGGGATAAGAGGTTCTTCTTAGACACACAGGTAAAAGCAGAGCTAGTGTTGGAGATAGATAAAGAGGTTAAAGAAAGGGATTTTACCCAGAACAGTTTGCTTGTAGGAAACACCATCCCTTAGGGTCCAGTTCAGGACTGTGTCCCAGGAGGCTTAGGAAAAACAAACCCAAATCCAATTTTTCCTACCCTCCAGGACAGGGGTATTAGAAAGGTGAAGAGAACTTGCAAAGAAATGTGTAGATTTTGTTGAGAGAGAGAAGGGTACACACTTTCTCAGTTCTGTCTGGACAATGCCTGGGACTTCAACAATTTGTGGTAATACAGAAGTAGTACCCACTTCCCATTTAAGAATCCATCTTGGGGCCTTACCCAGGGCCCCTGCTGTGAAATCCAACTTGCCTATTGGCATTTGG